CCAGTGCCAGGTGCCCCCCCACGACCCCTCCCATCAGCAAGGAGGCCTGCCCTGCAGTGGGACCAGCTGGGAACGTAACATAAACTGCCGGGAATGCTGCCCACACAAGTCGCTTGGGGACGCGGCATCCAGACACCTGCCACGTTCCCTTGGCAGGGTGCCACATGTGGTCATCCGCCTGGCCTCCTCTGAGCCTGGCCCTGTGTGGAGCGCATCCACCTGCACGGCTCAGCTTAGCAAACACCTCCTAAGCCACGATCATATGTAATAACCCTGAAGGAAGCCAGGCCTGGCAGGTTTCCCTGGTTTGTAGGAAACTGGGGCCCAGAATGGAATTTGCTTGAGGCCACAGTTATGGAGAGGCCAATACAGATTCTCACCCAGAACTGCTGCCTCCCACTCCCAAGTCCTTTCAACTACACTTTGTGCAGGCAGCAGGAGGCAACTAAGACCCTGGGCTCAGCCTCCCTGGCCAAACTCTAATTCCACATCAGAGCCTCAAAAATAGCAAGTGCAATGCCTTTGTTCTATAAATAGGTAAACTGTGGTTATCAAAAAAAAAAAAAAAGACAAGAGCTGGCCCGAAGTCAGAGGTCACCAGAGCTGAAGGAGAGATTCTGATGATGATATTCATAGGTACCACTTCAGGCAGCTGGAGCCAAGACAGCTGGACAACAGTCAGTGTCCATGACTGGGGAGTAGAAGGCAATCATGATGGCTTCCTGGAAGAGGTGTTCTCCCCAGTATCCATCCAGTCCTCTGTGAAGCCCACTAAGGTGACTAACCCTAGGTCAAAACAGCAATTGGCCAACAAAAGGAAAATTGCAAAGAGGGATCAGAGGCCATGGAGATGAGCTATCCCTTCTCCTCTCCAAGCCTCAGTGGCTCCATCAATACAACGGGCAAAGGATGCTGGCTCGTCAAATGATTCAGTGACTCGCCAGCTCAGACACTCATGGTGCAGTGCTCTGAGGTCTAACCTAGGGCTGCCCAGATACTACCCATCACTCAGGAGACCTCGAGTTCTAGTAGGATGCCTGGGGAGGGCAGGGGGCAGGTTGGCTGCAACTCAGCTGGGATGTGAAGCCTGAGAAAGGGTGTGTAAAGGCTCAGAGATATGAATGACACTGACAGGAGCTGGAGGAGTGGTGAATGGACAGGGGGCAGAAAGCATGCTGGGCTAGCACCAGCGGCTTGGACCACATGTCATAAATGACAGGAAAACAAGGGGATTAAGTAAGGCGGGGCCATGGTCAAACTGACCGTGGTGTGGGGGACCCCGACCCAGGAAGGAGTCATACATGCAGCCCTGCAGTGGCCTCAAGGCTGCAGCAGAAGTCAAGAAGGCTCAGGCGAGAGTCAGAAACTGAGGCTTTCTCTCCCATGCATCCTGGACTTTGGGGCCCTCTAGCCCTAGAGAAGGGCTCTGGTTCCCAGGGCAGGCATCGGGAGGTAGGGTGGGCCTGATGACCGTGTGTTGACCCTGAGGGAGCCTGGCCATCACCGCCCTCTGCATGAAAGGGCCACCCCGGGGCTGGACCAGGTCATGCTGACCGAGGGCACAGCTGACATCTGGCTCCACAGACCCCTCCCAGCAGCCACTGCGTCAATGTAGAATGCTTCCCAGAAATCAGTAGTTTAAATGTCCACATGGAAGCTAGGCACAGGGTGAGCAAAGACAGAGAGGCAGGCGGAATTCATCCATCCTGACCCAGCAAAGGCTCACTAGCACCTGCCATGTGCCAGGCTCAGGGCTGGTGTGGGGGCCACACAGATGAGGAGGGTGGGGCCTGAGACTCGGAGCAGGGGCCTCCAGAGATCCATAAGCCATGACTCACCAGGGGGACTGGGCAGCGGGCAGCAGCATGGGGAAGGACCCAGAAGACCAGGGCCTCGGCTGGTGGAGAGGAGACGGGAGGAAGGAGGGGACCTACGGACAGTAAGAGAGCACAGGATGCAGGGGTCTGCAAGTGAGTGCCAGGCAGGGGACAGGGCAGGGGCTCAGCAGTACAGTCCAGCTCTGTATGAGGACCAGAACCTGAAAGCCCACCTTCCCCCAAACTGCCCATTTTGCTAGGTTTTGATGGAGACACAGAAGCAGGGCCATGGGCCATTTTCACCTTTTAAAAACCACAGACATCTGACACTAGGCACCAGAGCCAAATTTCTGGGAGAGACAGAGGCCCTGTGGGCGCTTCGTGACGTCAATCAGGGCTTCTCCTTTGTGTCTGCGGCTTCGACAGGCGGAGGCCAGATCAGGGGGCTGAGCTGAGAAGGGATAGAAGGACCAGAGGCCAAAGTCAGTTGTTCCCCTGACCTGCGCTCCGGTGGGAAAGCCCAAGTCAGGGCTGATTATGGAGGTGGCACCATCAGTCATTAAGGGACAGTAGATACCACCTTGGACTCTCAACCAGCAGGCTTCCAGGAAGGTCTGTCCTGCCTGCACCCCTCCCTCCCCCTGTCCAGTGCAGGCTCTCCCTCCAGGACAGACTGTCCTCCCTGTCCCACCCTCCTGACACAACTTCCACCCTGCCAGGTCCAGGTTTCAGCCCAACTTCCTGACACTGAGCTTCTCTGACAGGGAAACTGAGGCCCAGGAGGGCTGAGGAGCTACTGGCTTACCCTGTGCCCTGGCCCAGCACAGGATCAGGACACATCTGCAGAAGAGAGCACTGCCCTGCAGCACCTTCTCCATTCAGCCAGATGGCCAGCCCTCACTCAGCCTCAGCTGTCAGGGACCAGCTGGTTGTGGGGGATGGAGGGAGGGGATAGGGACACCTTTAACATATACCTACCTCCGTCAGCTCCACACAAGCATCCTGAGTGCCTTGACCCCAAACACAGAGTGAACCCAATATCCACCCTAGGCTAAGCCCAACCATGCCCCCAGGCTGAACCTGACACCAAAGTGAACCCCAACACCACCCCTATACCAGCTACAACCTGAGATACAGACCAAGCCTGACCCAGGCCAGAATGAGCTCTGACCCTAATTCCAACCCCAAATTAAACTCTGGTCCTGACCTAGACCCCAGGTTGAACCTTGACCCTGACCTCAGGCAGAGTCCTGGCCCATAAACAGCCCAGAAAAGACTCCAGGGACACTAGGACTTGGGCCCCAGCCCCTCTGCAGACAGGCAGGGCAGCAGGGCCCTCTGAATGTTAGAGCCACCCAAGTATGGAGGGACAGACAGTAGAGCCCACTGACAAACTGTCACACTGCCCAGCATCACCGTCCCTGGCTTCAAGTTCATTAGACCTACCCGCCTCTAAGCAAGGTGGCCTTGGTGAGATGAAAAGTCTTGGGGGAAACAGGACCCACACATCCCCCTGCATACAGGTCTTTCAGAAATGGTGGCCTGACCTACAAGGACATCCTGCTCCAGAAGGAACCATTCTTCCATGGCATTCAGGCCTCCTCAATGAGGAGCAGACCATGCCTGGGGCCAACTGGCCCAGGGCCCTGTTCTGCAGAGGGTACAGCTGATGTGGCTGTGTATTAAGGCACAGAGCCGGGGGCTTAGCAGTGCAGGAGCCCCCAGTCTCTGTGTCTCACCTTTCTTTTTTTTTTTTTTTTTTTTTCTCTCAGGGAGAAAGCGGTCCAAGTTCTCAGGGCTGACTGGGTACTGGGGAAACCCCGATCTGAAGTGGCACTCCTCCTTGCCCCCTTCAGGTGCCCTTGGGTCTCAATGCAGAGCCAAGGCCACAGGGAGGCCCCCCTGGGCCCCCCTTCCACATCTGCCCAGTTCCTGCCTTGCTTCCCACCTCACTGTGAGAATGTGCACTCACAACCTCTGGGAAGAAATCAGCACGATGGAATGTGCTGTCCAGCAGCCAGTGGACAGGATGGGCCCACAGGAGAGGGAGCAAGTGAGGAGAGCTCAGGGAGATCAGAGCTGGGAAGGAAAACAGAGATGTGCCCAGGCAGCAGGCCAGGCAGCCCCAGTCCAGCCATTGTTCCTGGCCCCACAGGTCAGGTGCACTGGGCTCTTGGCCGAATCCCAGCCTCCACTCAGCATTGCCCCAGCCTTCCCTAGGTCTACCCGCCACCTTCCTGTCCCACACCCTGACCTCTGGGCCTGGACCAGCCTAGGAAAAAGACAGATTTGTCTTCATCCCCCAACCAGTTCCACAGGCCTCTGTCTGTCTCTAGCCTGTCTCCCTTCTCCCCACTAAAGTCCAGGTCCTTCCACAAGCCTTACTCTGTCCAGATGTCCCTTGTGGGAGGAAGCTTGTAGTTTCAATGGCCTGATAAGCTAGTCCACATGTGGTCATTAATAGCTGATAATGGCTTAGACCTGCCTTCTCAAAGTGTGGTCTGTAGACCACTAACATTAGCATCACTTGGAAACTTGTTAGAAATGCAAATTACCATGCCCCACCCAAAGACTTGCTAAGTCAGCATTCTTTGCTTTAACAAGCCCTGCAGTGGCTTAAGATGCACACTCAAGGTTGAGAGCCACCAACTTAGAGTGTGATCATGGTCAACTCCACAAATATTGGTAAAATGAACAGAGAGTGAATGAGTTTGAAGAGGCCTGTTCTTATTCCCAGGCTTGAGTAGAATGGTTCCTTCTTGCCTGTCGGGAACCCAAGTTCCAGGAAGAGTTGAAAGCTGCAGACAATCAGAAAGGGGCTAGGCAGCTGGACTCCTGTGATGGAGCAGCCCCTCAGACAATGTCATCTACAAGGAGCCCATCCAGCTGGCTGGGCCTGGGGCCCAGGCAACCTAAAAGGGGATGAGCCAGCCTTGACAGGACAGGGTCCAGCAGGTCAGTGGGACGTAGTGACAGGAGTCTGGGACCAGGAGAGCAGAGTTGAGGATGCCCAGTGGCAGGCTAGAGGGTCCCCAGCTCATCGCTGGGGCTCAGGACTCTTACACTGGGGCACAACTGGCAAGAGGGGCCCGTGGAGCAAAGCTAAGCTTCCATTATCACAACTGGGACATGAGACTGGATGCCAGTCACCTGAACTTGGAGCACGGCTCCTTCAGAAATCCCCTAGCTGAGGCCAGGCTGGGCCCCAGAGTCTCCGACGCTGCCAAGTCTGCCTGTGGAGCCCAGGGACTCCAGCTGCGAGGAGAGGACAGGGAGCTCAGATGAGGAGCAGCAGTCCTGCATCATGCTAACTCATCCCCAAATCTGCTCTTGGAGTCAGATCGCTCCTGAAGCCGGGATGGCCCTTTCCAGAACTGAACACCAGCTTGATGAGTGACGTCCTCCCAACTTTCCCAGCTGCCCGGGTCTGGTTCATATTTTCAGAATAAGTTGGAAAGAGACAGACAAGTTCTGTTCTGTCCACCTGCCAGCTCACCCCCTCCCCTTCAGTGCCAAGGAAGAGAGGACAAATCATGTGACTGGGTCCCCACACTAGCCTGACACCAGGGAAGCTCCCATGGCCAACTTGGTCCAATATTGAAAGGGTAATTTCCTGCTTGACAGAGAAGTGAAGCATCTTCACCCCCAGCCACCAGCTCTGCTGGGTAACTTGGCATTTCAAGTCCAGGAATCCCTGAGGCATCCTCTAAACCTGCATGGCCCAGGGTATGTCCCACTGGTCCTGAAAAAGATTCCATGGAGAGAAATGGTACCACTATCCAATAAGTCTGTGAAACACTGCACACCAGGGCCAATTCTCAGAAAAACAATTTCCCTCCTAACAGCTAAAGGCACCAAGAAGTCCTACAAGAGAGAAGTTTTGGATTAACACTTAGTCTACAGGCACACACCTGATCATCTACATTTGCTCTCTTACAGCACTAAACTATGTTTTCTACCTTTATCTTGCATCTACCTACCACTTCAGCATTTTATTAAAAATAATAATAATAATAATAAGGGAGAAATGTGGAATCCACATATAAATCAAGTATAAAAATCAAACAAATATTCATATTTGACCTGATTGTTTATAGTTCATA